TGTGTATTTATCTAAAAGAAATGACAAAAAATATATAGGTTAAGAAAAATATACCAAGACTGTTCAGAGCCACTTTACTGATAATAGCTCAAAACTGGAAACACCTCAAGCATTCAGCCACAACAACAGATAAACTGTGGCATATACACATAATGGAATAGCATGGCAATAAAAAGCAGCAAATTATGAATACAGCATGCGGGTAGATGGATCTCAAAAACAATAGGTTGAGTAAAGGAAGTCAGACAGAAGGAGAAAATACTATATATTTCAAATTATATGAAGTTCTAAAACTAGCAAAAAAATCAAAATAAGTAGTTGCTTCTGGCAAGGGGAGAGGGACTGGGCCTCTAGTACTAGCCCTTGGGGTTTCCAATGTAGACCCTTCAGTCTTCCATTGAAGATTCTCAGTCTCCTGCTATGGACCTGCATGGGACATTACCTGGGCTCCAGGCCTCCCCCTGGTTTCTTTGAATCTCCTTTTGGTAAGCCAAAAGGAATCTTGTGAAGTGATATAGATATGGAGCTATATGTGGTGAGTATTTGTCAAAAAATAGTTTGAATTCTCAATTAAGATACATGCATTTCATTGTGAGTAAATTATACATAAGTTAAAATATTTGAAAAGTGGGTGGCATTGGGCCAGCGACTTAGCTCAGTGGCTCAAGCACTTGCCTGGTAAGTACAAGGTCTTGAGTTCGATCCCTAGTACCAAAGAAAAAGAAAAAAAGAGAGAGAGAAATGTGAGTTACATGTTTTTGCTGACTAGGGAAGAGCCAAATGCCAGCTCCTTTTGGCACACAGGCAGGGAGACAAGAAGAGCCAATGTTCTCCCTCCATCCCCATAATAAGTGACTGGCTGATCCAGAGAAACAAAGGTTGAGATGACAGCTAATGAGGTAAAATGCAACTTAATGCTTGTAGTGCTTAGTAGTGTTTCACTGACTTTGCAGGCCTAAAGCTGGTAGTCTGGTCATCTATTCAGAGGATAACAATATGCAATGTAGCATCTATGGGAGTCTCCTTCTAAAGGTGGTGGCCATTGTTAATGCTCTATTATCTTGTTTTGAAATCCTGTATCATCCTCATTGTGTTGTTCGGTTGGCTTTTATTCTGTATTATCTTGTTTGATTTTGTTGTATCTGATGGCATGGGTAGCTGTTTCAAAGATAAGATATATTATGGTAGCCATTTTAGATTTACTATTATCTTGTTTTGAAGTGCTGTATTGCATTCATTGTTTTGTTTTTATTGGTTATATTCTATTTCTGTTTTATTTGATTTTACTGTTTGAAGATATGGGCAGCTATTTTGAAGACAAAAAGAGGCATTATGGTAACCATTGTTGATTTCCTATTACCTCCTTATGAAATCCTGTGTCACTTGTACTGTCTTCTTTAGATTGGCTTTATTCTGTTTTATTTTGCTTGGTTGTACTCCCCCTAAAATAAAATTTTAAAAAATATTTGAAAAGTGGACAGGCCATCCTGGGGAAGGAGATGATGACACAAAGATGAAAATGGCAACATGGCAACATTCCAAGCCTCAAGGATGTTCTAATGATGAGAGAGACATTGCCTATTTGACAAGATACAGGCATCAGGGAGAGCAAGGATGGGGTTACTGGGCACATTTTACAAGAATGTGGTAAATAAAAATCCTCTCAAAAAAATCAGGTGAGAACCTAATCCTGTATGTGAATTAACAGTTTGATGGGGGAATAAAGAGCCAATGTGGCTGGATACAGGCAAGGAACACCAGGATTATAAATTCTGACATCATTACTTGGGTGTAGACCAATTCACAGATTGTGTCCTAATGGATTTGGGTTTTAGGAATTTCCATTATACCAAGATCAAGAAACCCTATCAATCTGCTGTGAAAGGCGCTGTCTTAGTTACTTTTTCTTGTTGCTCAGGCAAAATACTCAACACCCAACGTTAAAGGAAGAAAGGTTTATTTTGGCTCACAGTTTGTAGAGGTTTCAATGAATAGTTAGCTGGCTCCAAAGCAGGGCAGTATCACAGAGAGAAACAGTTTAGGGCAGGCAGAAGGTAGCAAATTCCTAGCAACAAATAGTAGTTTCTTTCTGCTCCTTTTATATTCTATCTAGGATACCTAGCTAAGAGCAGGTGCCACACCAATCAGTGAACTAATTTACTAATCACATCCTTAATCCCAGCACCCTGTATCCTAGCACTGCAGCATGAATCAATCCCAGCATCACACACTGTACATCCAGCCACCTTTGAAGAGCCCCATTGACGATGACATGAGGCTTTGGGGGGACATCTAGACACAAAGTGTAATAGGTACAATCTTCACGGGGCCTGATGACCTGTGAAATATCTGCCCACTGGCCTGTCCCAATACCCAAACACCCACATCCCAAATTCCTTTGGCTAAAAATAGAGAAAGATACTTAAGAACCTACCACCCTCATTTGAAAACTTGGTCTTTTCTCTGAGAGGTTTTCCCTCAAATGAGAGCCTTCCTATCCTTCCACAAGCTTTCCAACATTCATTCCTGCATCTTTCATCACATGCCTTGGCTGATAATTTCAGTTTTCTTCCCAGAGATTGAAGCCTTAAAAGGGAGTGAATAGAGGCGCAGTATTAACACCTGGAGACCAGGCCAAGGGGAACCAGAAGTCTACTAAACAGACCTAACACACTGATCCTTAAGCTTCTAGATGATTTTCCTGCAGCCACTGTTGGTTGGCCATTGAAACACCGTGGCAGTGCGCTCTTTGAAGGTTCAGAGTTATGCCAGCCCCTTCTTTACCCTGCAGGTCATCCTGGCTCAATCCATACATAGCAACGAACCAGCCGAGCCAGTACAAACAAACACACTTCAGCCCAACAGATGTGAGAATGTTCCAAAAATAAGAAAGTACAAGCACTGAGAGGCAGAGTTGTATATTAAGCATTTTCATTAAAAAGAAAATGATCAAACCTGAGAATAAATGCACCTGTGGGTCCCTAGTTCTACTGAGGTCACCAAAAATCTCTCTGTTTGCAAACATTTCAGCAGCTACTGAAGGAAGGCAGCCAATAAATGTTTTCCAAACCAAGATTAATGGCTGATTTGTCATGTGGCAGGGAAAGGTGAGCCTCTGTACCTCACCAGAGGAAGCAGACAGGAGAGGAGGTGGGGCACCTGATTTATGGGGTTGGAAGAGGCTGATTAGGGCCTGATGGTGGGAGATAAGGGGCCCAAAGACTTTTGGAGAAGCAAAGTGAAAGGCAGTCACACAGGCTGCACCAAGAGCAAAATCTTACTGGAGAGGCAGAGCCCAGCCACCACGCATGCATTCCGTGAAAACCCAGTGTTTGGAAAGCTCCCAGCACCATGAAGAAAGGCTCAGGTTCCTGCACCTCAGATATCATTGACAACAAAGTCCTTGAGCTTTATTTAAGAAGGAGCTGCCCCACGTGACTGCCTGCACCAAGTGAACAGCATACAGATCACCCCGCATGCCTCCCCCTTTCCTTCCAAGCCCAGAGTCCCCCAGGACAGCTTGCCCAGTGCTCCAGTAGGTTGGGTTGCTCAGCAGAAATTGTCACCCCAGACAGCCTAAGCACTGAAGGTCTTTACTTGCTCCAGTCACTCTGGCCTCTCTGGACTTCCAGTGTCCCAGCAGAGCCACCAAGGACACAGTGGGCTGCACTTGGCCTGGAAGGGCAAGAACACCAAGGAGGGTAGGATATTCACAGCACTGTCAGAGGGAGTCTGGGCTGGACAGTGCCAGGGTGGCCCCGTCACCTCCCAGCTCAGGCCTTGGGGCCCACATGGGGCACCTGCCTTACTGTACTGTCCTCACTTTGCCTTTCTCTATCCAGAGCAGCTGTGTGCCATTTAGTGTGTGTGTGTGTGTGTGTGTGTGTGTGTGTGTGTCTGTCTGTCTGTCTGTCTGTCTGTCTGTCTGAATCTCCTTGCCTCCAAATGATGAACCTAAGACAAGCTACCTTTATGGGGCATCTCATTTGGGTGTGTAAAATGGGCATCTGCCTAAAACACAGCATTCTTTTTCTTTCTCTCATTTTAAAAATATGTACACAAGCAAGGAAGTGAGGGATAGACAGGGAGGGAAAGTGGGAAGGAAAAAGGAAGTGAGAAAGGAAAGGAGGAATAAAGAAAACAGGGAGGAAGAGAGAATAAAAGGAAGTGAGCAGGCAGCTGGTGCAAAAAGTGAGTCTTTTCTCTCCTTTCCCTGTCTTTTAATAAATCGCTGCAGCAACCTGTGACAGCCCTCTGTTAGCCTAAATGCTCAAGCAAACAGCTTTGCTCTGAGACCATTTAAGTGGCTTCCAGGGCCTTGAGAACGCTGCAGTAATTCAGGGAGAAAAGCAGGCTGGAGTCAATATTCATTGCTCCCCCAAGAATCCAGTGGCGCAATGAAACGGTAATGAGCGACTCAAAAGGAGAGGAGCCTGATAATCAGCCTTCAAGGAGGTGCACGAGGCCGCCAGCAACCAAGGTGGGGGCTGCCCTCGCCCCCACCATCTGCGGCCACTAGCAGAAGGCCAGCTGGACACCAGCGGACTCTTGCCAGGCCCTCTTCCCTGGCCATTCCTTTCCACGTTGTCACTTTGGGGACGAAAGGTGGGGGCAAAACTCACTTCATAGCCACGGACCCTTTGCTGGCTCTCAGATGGGTCAAAGCAAAGGCAGCTGGTGGGAAAATGGGACATTCTGTGAACGCTAAGGCTAAGGCACTCAGAGGTCGCCACCTGCCTAGATGAGTGTCTGAGCAGGAAGTCTCGCCTAAGGCACTGAGTACTGCGGATAGAGTCAGACGCGGACGCCCAGGAATTTACTTATTTTGCAAGATTTCATTTAATACACTTCTCTTACAGCCAGATTTTTAAATCTCTTCAACAAAGATGGAAAGATGGAATCCAAGAAGGACCCAAAGAAGAAGCTATCTTGGTTACTTTTTACTCCTGGAGACAAAATACCTGACGCCCAAAATTAGGGAAGGAAAGGTTTATTCTTACTGTTCTTGGAGATTTTAGTCCATACTCAGTTGGCTCCAAGGCAGGGTGGCATGGCTGGACCGCCATTCAAAGCTGCGGCAAACAGCAAAGCAACAAACCAGGACACACCTTCTTCCTGCCAATACATCATATCCTGGCTCCACCCCTGGGCGGGTGAAACGCTTACACGACCAATCCAAGCACTAGACAACAAACCAATCACAAACGCTAGATTTAATGGAGGGCATAACTGTCTGAGGCTTGGGAGCCACTGACAGAAACCATGACAGAAGCCATCCCACAAATAGCCACATTCAGCTGCATTTCTATGTGGCCTTGACTGTAACGTCGTCACAGTGTGACAGATGTCCCTAAATTTAAAGACTTCGATATGATTTCATCAGCAGCATTTTCTACCAAATGTCTGCTTCAAGATTGACCCAAACTTAGGCTATTTTCGGTAGTTTCTGCTTATTCTAGAGCGAATCTGCCATTTCCATCAGCATGGCAGCAGCAGTGCTGTACTTGTTGCTGGAGTCCTTTCATGGTTAATTTAGGAGACCCACAAAAATACACAGCACAAAGCAAGGCCATGTGCAATTTTCAACAGGAGGTGAAAAGCAAATGCAGGTAAGGGAGGAGCCACAGCCCAAGGCTGTGTCCTTGCCAGAGATGAGCAAGGCAGGGAGCCGGTGCTCTGCTTCACAAGGGGCGGCACAAGAGGAAAACAGTGAATCTCAACACAATCCCACAGACTCTGGATTGTATCTATATTGTTTAAAACCCCCCGATGAGATGCAAATAAAGCAGTTTCTCAGGAGATCATCATTCTTGATGCTCATAGGAAAGACACTGCACTCTATGGGGAAAGCTCTCAGCAACCTCTTTATAGGGAAAATAGTAAAGATTGTTGTATTGAGACAGAAGTAAAGCACAAGAGATAAGGACCAGGGAGGAGTAGTTCAGAGAGAAGGATGAGAAGACAGAAAGAAGCACACAGCCAGATCATGGACTGTTCCGTGGTTGAAAAAAAGACAGACACATGAGGAAAGAATGCAATATGATGGTAGAAAAGAGACTTGAATTCTCTACTTTCATGAGCATCAGAACTCAAGGGGCCCAACAGCCTGGAATCGAATCTCATCTCCCTTGTGCACTGTCATGTGGGGATGGGAGCATGTTGTGGGCCTCAGTTTCCCCATTTGTAAAATGGGGGGGAAGAGCCAATACCTACCTTATAGAAATAAATGGAATAACCTATATGATGTGTGGAACATAGCACCAGGCACTTTAGTGTATGGTCATAAACATGTGTGACTCAACAAGATGCATGCATGTGGGGATCAAAGTATGTAGTATGTGTTAAAATTTTTTAAATTACACTAAATGACATATTGCCATTAATCCTCTCAAAATATTTCCCCTCACTTTGAACACACTTATCCCATGGTTCTTGCCACTTTCCAAAGCAGTTCTGGGAGTCCTCTTTAGTGACTATGAAGTATGATCAAAAATACGGGGATAGTTGCCACTGTGTGGCATCCATTAGAAAGGCAGGCTTGTAAAACATTGCTGCGTGTCCTCATCCACCTTGGCTGCTGGGTCGAGAACTCTGCCACTTCTCGCTCTTCCCCAAAGTCAAAATCACCATGCTAAGTCGACGTTTCAAATCACTTCAGGACATTCAGGCAGCCACCATAGCACAACCAAAAGCTACTCAGGAAAGAGGACTTCCAGCTGCTTCAGATACGAGGAATATGTTCATCATGAACAGAAAACAAGTACTCATTTAAAATGTTTTTAAGAGACAATGACAAGAATGATGGGATAAATGTGTTCAAAGTGCAGGGAGAGTCTTTTGAGGGAAATCAATACCGATCTTCCTTTGCTATAATAAATTTTTAAAAATTTGAAGTTTTCATATCCTTGTATCCCACCATTTGTGTTAAAATCCTAACCTCTAGTGTGATGATATTAGACAGCAGGCCCTGCAGGAGGTGATGTGGTCATGTGGGAAAGGACCTCATGAATGAGATTAGTGCCCTTCGGAGGGGCCTTGAGAAAGCTGTTTTTGCCTCGCCTGTCATTTTAGAGTGAAAAGAGAGCCATGAGGTAGTCAGCCTTTGCCACTTACTAAACCTATTGGCATCTTGGTCTTGGATTTCCCAGCTTCCAGAGTTGGGAGAAACATATCTGTGTTATTCATCAGCTGCCTACTCTATGTAATTTCACTATTGCTGCCTGAATGGGTAAAAACAATTAACTAACATTGTTGCCATTATCAGTGTTGTTTTTCTTCTGTATGCAGTAAGAACAAGTAAATGAAATAATTTTCATAACATATCTTCAATATATACTGGCTTTTTATATATTATCTTATTTAATTTTGTAACAACCCATTCAAATGGGCACTGTTACTCATATCCCAATAGCAAGTTGAATCTCAGTATAGTTCACTGCGATGCCCAATGTGTATGGAATCCTGCAGGTATTCCAGGATACCTGCATTTACTGAGATCCCTCCAAGACTCCAGGTCTACCTCTGCATTCACACATTTGCATTTTCTCTTAAAACATTCTCTGTATTTGCGTAAGTCTGAGCTTCACAAAACTGGATCCAATTTGAGGTCATCTGTGAGTGACCTGGTGACCAGAACTGTGTCCTCAAAAGTAAGCAGTGGGAGGAAGACTGGGAGGAAATGTGCCAAGAGATTAAGAGCTAAATGCCAACCACACTGCACTGTGGCCAGATGAAGTTGTCTCAGATATTCACACATCAGGGGCAGGAGAGCAGGTAGGGAAGGAGGCAGTCTGGGCAGAAGGTGGACTGTGCTAGACACTGAGGGAGAACTATTATTTATCCACGAGGACATGGGGCTATTCAAATTTAACTTAAATAAAATGCATGACCAGCTCATCTAGCCCACTGGCCATGTGCCAGTCCTAATGGTTACCAGTGGCCAGCAGCTATGATGCTTGTCAGCGCAGATCCAGTACATCTCCACAGTTACAGGAAGGTCCACTGGACAGCGCTGGTCCAGAGGCCCGACGGCCACAAAAGGCAAGCTCACGGGGAAGCATCTTTTAAAACTGACCTCGGTCATACAAGGCACACGCCTGCCCTGCCGACACACACCTCTCCTGCGGCCAGCGGCCTGCATACCTATGCAACTTCCTGTTTGTTTCTGCAGTTACTTCAAGTTCACGTAAGAATGCGTGTTCTGAGCGCAGCCTTTCCTGGCCCACACATGCATGTGCATATCTTGAAGGTGCAAATGAGGCACCACTGAGCATAGCTTTTTAATGTAGCCCTAAGGGGTACATTGTTCTGATCAGCGCTAACATAGCCGTCCTACATTAAGGCATCGATTTTAGGCCCCACTGAAGGCCACAATGTTAAACAAGCAAATAAAGCTGGTTTCCCCATGTAGCCACAGCCTTCTATTGCCCTTCACACCTGTCCCCTATTCAAATTCCACTGCCTCCAAAACACTCGCCTCATCCTAAAAGTCTCTCCAGCTCCTTCCCCAGCCTCCTGTTTCATACCCCAGGCATTCATATACGTATCTGAGTGTGTCTTCCCCAATTACTTATGACCTTGTCTTTTTTTACCATCTCAACTTTTTTAAAGGTGGCCCAGTGCTGGAGTGAGTTCCTCAGTCAGATTATTGTAGCAAAGTCTAGCCAAGTGTTCTGCCAATAATTTTCCCTTTTCTCTTAACATAGCTTGACCACATTTCCCAGCCTCCCTTGTCAAAGAGGTATCCAATCATATGGCCCAATTCTGGCCTTTAGAGAGAGGGCAGAAGTGATATGCATGGTACCTCTGGCTTGAGGGAAGGAAGAATAGACATTCCGTGGGCTGGAAACTGTAGCCCCAGTGAAAGGCACCCTTGTCTTGAATGGTAGCAACTTAACAACTCAGCACAAGGAGTTTGGGTAACTAAGAGACTCTGTGGAACAAGCTCTTCTATTCCCCTGACAACACTTAGTAGATTGTGACAAGAAACCTTATGCTATTAAAAACCTGGGATTTGAAGTTTGTTTATTAAAGCCGTCAGCCTATCCTGTTGTGATAAATTAACTGCAAACTTTTCCCTAATTATTTCTCTCCCATGTAGTGTAATTTAGCAGTTCCTTCCATGGAACCTGGGAGTCTAGTTCCCATCCCTTGGCTTGGCTGTCTGACATTTTTTGGCACAAGAAATGTAGCAGAAGTAACAGAGTGCCATTTCCAAATATAGGTCTCAAAAGACCTTGCAATCTTTTGCTCACTTTCTGGGAACTCAAACTCTACCAGATGAATAAGTCAGACTAGTCTGCTAGAGGTTGAGAGACAACACAGGGGAAAGCCAAGTTGTCCTGGCTACCTAGACACTAATACAGGCTGAGGATCCCTCTTCCCAACTGCCTGGGGACAGAAGTGTTTCGGATGACACATTTCCAGATTTGGAAGTACTTACACACACATAATGAGATAACTTGGGGGTGGGACCCACAACTAAACATGAAATTAATTTATATTTTATATATGCCTTCTACATGTAGCCTGCAGGCAATTTTTACAGTATCTTTAATAATTTTATGCATGAAACAAAAACTTGTGTTGTGTAGTTTTCCACTGCATCATCATGTTGCTGCTCAAAAAGTTTCAGACTTGGGAGCACTTGGACTTTTCACATTAGAGATGTTCAATCTATAATGGCCCTAGGGTAAATCAACAAAACTCAGCCCAGGAGAGCAGAACTTCCCTTTGGGTCAATCACTAGGCTTAAGAAAATCATTAAGTTGTGGTGATTTTTGTCACAAATTTTAGTGTTCTTTGTTACACAGGAAGAGCTAACTGAAGCATCTGACTTAGATAGCAATCATTTGGATAGATATCTGTTCAGGCAGTGAAGTTGGTTAGACTCGCCCTCTATTTTCTAATAAGCATGTATTTTTCATCTGTGCTTGATAATCCAGGCCTGCAATTTTAACACTCTGGGAGGCTGAGATAAAAAGATTACAAGTGTAAGGTCAACTTGGGCAACTAAGTCACTTAGTTGCCCTTGACAAAAAGACCTTGTGTCAAAATAATTTAAACAAGAAAAGGACTAGAGATGTAACACAGGGTGGAAGCCCTGGGTTCAATCCC